TAAAGAGATTTTTGCTATAGGGCGTGTGTACTCACCAGAAAAGACAGAGAGAGACAGAAAGCAAGAAATCACTCCCTGGGGGGATGGCCATGCCGCAATCCCTTCTCCTCCAGTCTCCTCTCTGGATTTTGGGCACACACAATGAGTGCTAAGGCTCCGGGTCTGGCACTCAAACCTTGGCTGACTACATAGGAGTCCAGCAACGTAATCATTACGCCATCTGCTAGTCCCAGGACCTGTATGTTGAACAAGCACCTCAAATGATTCTATCATACTCGGATTACCCTCAAGGACACTGATTCAGGGAGGGCTTGGCTCAGAAGTGAGGATGGGAAGAAACTGGCCAGAAGTCAGGACAGCCGCGGCTGTAACCTCTAGGGAAGATTTCTATCAATAGTGACAGCCCACATGCCACAGACTGCCTGGTGTGCTGGCGGCCTCGGGGCTGGAGCTGTGCCGTGTAGTCGCAGGTAAGCACAGTCTGTAGGACAGCATTGCTCATGCCTAGTGTGTTTGCTTCCAGAATGGCATCATCACCGGCGTGTACCCGGCGAGCCCCTCTAGTTGGCTTATCGTGGTGGTGGGCGTGATGTCGACCATGTACGCCAAGATCGACCCCTCTTTAGGAATAATTGCAAAAATCAACCAGACCCTTGACACGACGTAAGTAATCCTGTGTAATTGTATAAAATTTCTAATTGTCTGGAATGTTACTGATTTTCTTGTCCTTATGTCTCTTCAAACAGAATGACTTGCTCTTCTGATTTGATTTGGAGCTTTTGCCGTGGTTCTTATTTCTGCTTTTTTCCCATTTCTTGGACTAGTGTTAAGGTCCCCTGGGGAGTTTGCAGTTCCTGTGGCCCTTCTTTGGAAGATCAGATTGGGAAGAGTGGCCATGGCCCTAGAGCCACCCTCCAGATAGTGTCAGGGCCTGAGGTGGTGGACAGAAGTGGCTGGGTACTTATCTCGATCTGGGGGTCCTTACAAGGAATTTCTGCCAAAGGGGCTGGTTCTTGATGTAGCCATTTCTTAGCACATAGACTCACTCCATCTAGGGCCAGCTTGTGGTGTGGTGGTTAAGGCAGTGGATCCCACATGGCCAACTCTAAGGTTGGAGTTCCAGACCCGAGGGCTTGAAAAACAGGCCAGGCTCTTTCCCACTATACAAGATGGCAGGTGAAAAAGCTGCAGAGCAGGATACTAAGGAGAAGAAACCTGAAGCCAAGAAGGCTGACGCCAGTGGCAAGGTTAAAAAGAGTGACCCCAAGGCTAAAAAGCCCAAAAAGGGGAAGCCCCATTGCAGCCGAAACCCCATCTAGTCCGGGGCATCGCCAGATATTCCCGATCTGCCATGTATTCCAGGAAGGCCATGTACAGGAGGAAATACTTAGTCACCAAATCCAGGATCAAAAAGAAAAAGGAGAAGGTTCTTGCGACTGTCACAAAACCAGTTGGTGGAGACAAGAATGGTGGTACCCGGGTGGTTAAACTGCGCAAAATGCCTAGGTATTATCCTACTGAAGATGTGCCTCGAAAGCTGTTGAGCCCCGGCAAAAAACCCTTCAGTCAGCATGTGAGAAAGCTGCGAGCTAGCATCACTCCTGGGACCATCATCCTCACTGGACGCCACAGAGGCAAGAGAGTGGTTTTCCTGAAGCAGCTGAGCAGTGGCTTGCTACTTGTAACTGGACCACTGTTTCTCAATCGAGTTCCACTGCATAGAACACACCAGAAATTTATCATTGCCACCTCCACGGAAATTGATATTAGCAAAGTAAAAATCCCAAAACACCTTACCGATGCTTACTTCAAGAAAAAAACTGTGGAAGCCCAGGCACTAGGAAGGTGAGATCTTCGACACAGAGAAGGAGAAATATGACATTTCAGAGCAGTGCAAGGCTGATCAGAAAGCTGTGGACTCGCACATTTTGCCAAAAATCAAAGCTGTTCCTCAGCTCCAGGGATACCTGCGATCCGTTTGCCCTTACAAATGGAGTTTATCCTCACCTATTGGTGTTCTAGATTTTTTGCCAAGAACCTAATTAAATAACTGATCATATATATTTTTTAAAAAAGAAAAAGAAAAACATGCCAGATAATATAAACAAAAAGAATAGGTAACTAAATAAATAGGGAAAAAAAAATTAGTACATTTAGAGTTCTCTGACCCTTGACCTGACTGCCATGGGTGCTCTGGAGGGACCTCACCTACTTAGTTGATAGAGTGGTTTAGAACCCCAATTTTATCAAACTGCTTATAGGTGAGGAGAGTTCAGAAAAGTTTCTGGAAAAATCAAATCGAAGTATGAGTATCCAGGGCTAGCAAGTGGCGCAGTGGTGATGTCGCTGGACTCCCACATGGCTGACCACAGTTCAAGTCCCAGACCTGATGGCTTGAAAATCTGCCGGGTGCATGTATGTGCATGCCCAACATCCCAGGAGGAGAATGGAGAAGGGATTGCAGTGCGGCCAGCTCCCGGGGGGGGGGTTTCCCTCTTACTCTGTCTCTGTCTCTGTCTCTGTCTCTGTCTTTCTGGCAAGCATACACATCTTATGGCAAAGACCTCTTTAAAAAAATTGAAATCCATGCAATTTTTTCCTTTTTCTCTTCTAAGAATTAATTTAATTTAATTTATTATTACTTGTTTTTAATTCACTTTAGGGTATATTTGCTCACTAGAGATGGAGGGCAGTGAATAAGCAAGCCACCAGTTCTGGAACTTGAGCCACAGTTGGCTTTGTGGGAGTCCGGCGCCTTAACCACCATGCCACCTGCTGGCCCCCCTTTTTCTTTTTCTTTCTTTTTTTTTTTCTTTTTCTGGCTAT